GGGACCCCTGGGCCGGCAGGTCCCCCCGGGTGGAGAGGGCGGGGCACTGTGCCGCGGAGACCCCGCAGGTCCCCCCGGGTGGAGAGGGCGGGGCACTGTGCCACGGAGACCCGCAGGTTCTCCTGGGCATCGTGGAGCCTGAGGAATACTTACTCTGGGTGCAGCCTTTTGCTCGCATTGGCTCCAGGGTAGGCCCCATGCTAAGCCAGCGCTCTGCCTGCCCCATCGCATCGAACCTGCACCAACCCGTTTCCCAGGTGGAGAACCGAGGCTCGGAGCGCACCTGGGCGAGGTCCTGCAGCAGCGGAGGGGCAGGGCGCGGCCCTCAGCCGGGTCTGCCTCCCCGAGCCACTCCGGACGGGGTTCGGTCTTCAGAACGTTGCTCTGCTTGTCCCCCTCCTGGGGGTCACACGTGCAGCGTAACCTCGCTCGCCCTCCGAGCTCAGCTCCTCCGGGGCCTTGCAGCCCACTGTGCCATGCCCAGCTGCTGGACCACGGGTTGGGGAGCAGCAGGGGAGTGTGGACAGAGTGCGGTTTGAACTTGACTCTGCAACCGGGCAGGGCTGGGAGGGACAGCGCATGTCACACTCAGGCTGCAGCAGCTTCTCCTGGAGAGACCGACGTGGGGCCCCGCCCTGCTCGCTGACAGGCCCCGGCATGGTCAGCGAGTGTCCTGGGGCGCACACCACAGGCGCCCGTCCTTCCCGCCAGGCTGGGGCCCGTCAGCCTGCAGGTAGCGGCGCCATGTGACCCTGCCTGGGTGGCTCTGTAAAAGGGGCTGTACACGGGCACCCTGTCCCGTCGCGTTTCAGAGGTGTGATTTTACAAACGAAGGCGAGGCCCTCCACCAGCAGGGGGAGGAGGCCCACTCCCGCGACACTGGCTGTGCTGCGGGGTGACCAGACCGCGCATCTCCGAGGTCTGCCTGGGACGGTGGAAGCGGGCGTTTGTGAGCCTGGAGAGCTGAGCGGGGACACGACGGGAAAGCAGGCCTTTCCTGGGCAGTGGGGGTGTGGTTGGGCCTGTCCGTTCCTCTCTTCACCTTTTGTGACCCTCGGAGGTGCCTGTCCCTTTCTGTGACAGATGGGGAAATGGAGGCGGCCTCTGTCCGGCCAGCATGTTCTCAGCAGCGATGTCACTGGCCACCGTGGCACTGGATGAAGCAGAGGAGGTGGGATTAGAGGAAGTGCTACCTCCAGTCCCACTGTGGCCAGTGACATCGCCGCTGAGAACATGCTGCCGGGACAGAGGCCCATTGACAGCTGAAATCAGAGCATGACACCTCCCGTGGGTGGGAGGGCGCGGGGTGCTGTCCTAGGGAATTGCGGCTCTGCCCAGGGCTCTCCTGGTGGGTGCAGGGAGACCCTTTAATGAGAGTGCGCCTGGGCCCGCCGTGCTGTTCGGTGCGGGTGCCCAGCTGCCCGCTGCCCGCTGCCCCTGCCGAGCTCCCCCTCTCGCCTGGGGTGTCTCCGTGCTCAGCCTGACTGCGGAGCGAGTGGACC